TCTAAAAGCTCAGGAAGTTGTAAAGGACTTTTTACAGTGTATATATATTTCTAGCTATAAGCTTGCTGATATTTATTTGTGAACAGGATAAATACAAAACATCAAAAATATAAATTAAAGACAGAAACAAAGAATAGCTGGTAATGCCATGGACACTAACAGCTCAATCAAATTTTCTAATCAAAGAAAAGAAAGTCTTTCAATATCTTTCAACTGCACTCAATACTGATCTACACACTCAGGATAAAAGTTTAACTCTACTTAAATATGACAGCAACAAAATCATACAAATTAGACAGTAGACAAGGATTTTAATAACCTGGGTGGGAGATTACTGAAGAGACACAGTCTCTATGTGGTGATTGACATTCTGTATTCATGCTGAATGTTATAAAATTCCCAGGGATTAGGAAGAGTGAAATAAGTTTGAGATTTAAAAACATTCTCTTGGAAGGGCTTCACTTCCCCTTCAAAATTTATTTTTACTACATTTTTTTTTCTGGCACTTTCTAGACATTTTGTTAGTGTCTATCATTACTGATATGACTAGTGAAAATTAAAGGGAACTCCTTCAAGCAGATACAGGGAAGGCAGGTAGAGAGCCTCTGCCTTGCACTGAAATTACTGCTAGAGATATCACCTGCTATTGGAGATGATATTTTGAATGGTCAACAAGACACCTACTTGCTTTTCATTTGCTTTTATGATAGTGGCTATATCCAATACAGATCGTATCAAATCCTTGACCAGCAACAGACACATGGGGAAGATGTCCCTGCATCTGTGGTGTCACTATTCATTGGTGTAACAATAACTTCCCTCTGAGTCAGGACTTGCTCTTATAAAAACTCTCACCCTAGGGCTGCAGGAAGAAAGGACCCATCAAGAAAAATTCACACTTGAGATGAAACCTCCTTCCAGCTCTGAAACAGATCGGTGGCTTGTGTAGCCAGTGGGTCCTTTTGAGAACATGCAACATCAACATCCTTCCTGTTCAAAACTCTCTAGTGGGTCTTCTCACACTTCAAATAAAATCCAAACTCCTCCCCACAGCCTTCATGTCCTGGGCACTCTATAGTATGTCTTGCTGCTTTCCTCTGGTCACACTTGTAACTTGTCATTGGTCTGTTATCTGTTGTCCCTCAGAGCCCAGATGGAGCAGGGAACGAAGGTCTCCTTAAGAGAGGTTAGTATAGCAGGCAGAGGACTGGTACTCAGAGCTGGGTCTGAGTTTGGAGGGGTGAGGCCTTTGGCAAGCCACAGTTTCTCTGAGGCTCCATTTTCCAGTGTCTTTGTCTATAAAATGGTATGGTAATATAGTATATTAATAGTCACACAGAGTTATTATGAGTATCAAATGAAATAATGTATTTAAAAATTTTGTAAGTAATGAGATACCACATGTAAGGTAAACATTATTACCAAAGCATTATGTTTCTGAAATAATTTGCTTCCTCCCTTTGGAAACAAAAGTTAGGGTCTACTTGATTTATGGACCCTTGTCTGTGACAAAGCAGGACTTCAGGAGAAAATTCTCACTGCATTACAAAGCCTTTTATAAACATGTCCACATGCAAATATTGACTTCAAGGTTGGTGTGTCTGCAGGCTTAGTTTGGGGCATACTGTGTTTAAAATACCACCACTCCTCACTTTTCCTCCTCCACTGGTAAACTCTTCTGTATTTACCTTTTCCTTCATGTACGACAACCCATTTTCATCAATGCTTCTTCAACCAAACAGCCTCTTGTACTGGATAACTAATTTTCCCTGAGAAATAATTTAATCAATTTAGAGATGTCCTGCTTCCTCACTTGATTTTGGAACATAGGACTATTTCATTCAAAATTTCATTTCTTTCCAGTGCTTCCAGGCTGGCAGTAGATTGTCATTCTTGAACTTTTTATAGTGTCTTCCTGTTTGAACTTCTGAATACTAATTCATCATTAAAGCACTGCTGAATGTTGCTTTTGTTGGAAGCATTTAAAGAATGTAGGAAAGATGGAGTCTACACAGTATTTGGATCTGAAGTCATTTTATATAGTATTAGTTCAGGGGTTTTGTATATGTATTAAAAAATAAAGATAGGAAATCCTCTCTACTTTCTAACCTTTAAAAATTGAACCAATTGTTAGTATTTTTAGAACAATTGTGATCCACACAAAGTTGAACAATATGTTTGGGGGGATCAAACAAACAGCAACAACAGAAATTAAAAAATATTGAGCTGAAATTCAGCTCTGCTGGTGAAGAGAAATAAACAGAAAGCAACAGAGTTAAAGACACATGCCTACTTCCCATTTACTTTATGAGACATTTAAATAGGAGTAAATGATAGAAAAGGCAGTTTCTAAAGACAGATACCGCATTATATGTAATACACATATGCAGCCCCATATATATAGACATATGTATGTACGTATATATGCATTTCAGATATTGTGGCTTATCATGGTTGCCTGATTGCTAAAAGAAAAAGCTGAGGTAAACAAACTTTATGTTACCATTGATGTAGGTGCAGAAGAGGATACATACAGGCTAAATACCAAACAATAAAACTGCTCTAATATCATTTTAACCACCATTTTAAAATGTCACTTCATTCTTCTACACTTACAAGGGGAAATACGCTGAAGAAATAAGCTCATTTTATCCACAGTACATTTCTTCATCTCTCCCCATCCTCTTGGCATGGCTTCCTAAGTGGTTCCCCTATTTCTGCCCAGACCCCAGTTCTTAACAGAGCAGCCACGATAATTTCGCTAAAATGCAACCCAGCCAATGTGTTTCCTGGCTTATAATCTTCCAGAATGTTCTAACGTAAACAGAGTAAGCGGTGAAGACCTCATAGTAGACTCAAGGTCCTCCGTGACCTCTAGCCCCTGTGGCCTGGGGACTTCATTGTTACCTGTTCTCTAATTCCTATTTGCTATTTTCTCTGTCTGAAGAGCTCTCCCCCCTTGTCTGTGCCATGGCAGTACATGAGGATGCTTCTCCACAGATTTGTTTTCCCTCAGTCTATAATCTTGTCTCTCTTAGCCAAGCCTTATGCCATCTAAATGTGTTGCTGTTCTGGATCCTGTTACCTCATGTGAATGAACTATGTGCCTGGTGCAGTGCTCACACACAATATTTAATCTATGTACTCTAATTTATATACACCTACCAGGAGTCTCATGGATAAGTCTGTTTTATCATTGTAACTCAAAGCAACACTATTTTTTTTGAATGTCAAATATGTATTGTGCATAGTCCCTGGTCCCTGAAGTTTATAGGCTGCTAGGTCAATTTGTACTACATCATAATACTTACTAGAACGTATCAAGTGCTTGTGTGTATTCTTGATGAAGAAATGTTCTCTTCACACCAAAGGAGACAAATCACTCCATGTTTTTGAGACCAGGCAGTTGTCAGGCCAAACAACTAACTGGTCCTTTCTGCATTTAACTTTATTTATTTAAAAACTTTTCAAGTGTTTTTGTTTGTTGGTTGTTTCTGAGTGCTGAGGATTGAATCCAGAGTCATGTACACTTGAGGTGAGCGTTCTGCCAGTGAGCTAGACTCCAGCCCCTCAGGATTTTTTATTTTAATTCCTAGGTCTTAAGATTTTAGAGTTAAGAGCTGCTAACCTTAAGAGCCCATGACTGCAACATTTATAAAGAGTTGTGCTCCTGACAAACTCCACTAGGAGTAAGTACATTTATTACAGAATGCTTCATGCTTAGGTGTTTTTTTTTTTTTTAAAATCTATCTTAATAAACTGCTATGCTTCTAGAGTTTTTCAGAACATAGAAGTCATTTAAAATTTTCAGCAAAAGTACAAAGAGCCTTTGGGGCTTCTGAAGAAGATAAAAGAATTTCCAGCACACTGCACACTTTCAGAAGAAAAATTTAAAGAACAAAAATAGTTCCCCAACTCAGTCATTCTTTGAAATTGATAATTTATTCCTGATAGTCCCCAAAGAGGGGAAGAGGAAAAAAAGAATATACTTGGCTCCCCTAAGAGAAATTATTCATAGCTCTTTTCTCTGACAGGATAATGGCCATGAGATCTTCCATAAAATCCTTTTCAGTAATGTTACGGTGGCTCTACATTTAATAAACCACGTTTTGTAACTGAGAAAAGAAAAAAAAACAAGAGAATCACTTTACAATAATTCATTCTCCTGATTTCTTTAAATTTCCAACTCCAAATCTTTCATCCCTTCTATAAAAATTAAGCACACGTCTGAGATTTTCTTGTAATTATTAAAAGTGAAGATTTCATGACTGCCACCTACTGGTGAGTGAAAAATTGACTACTTATTTTTGAAATTTCACACTCTGATTTCCAAGAGGGCTAAACAATCTTCATTAAAACACTGGATGATACACAACAGGAAATCCAGGATGTTTTATATGATTAAACTCAAACTACCTGACCACATATTACCAGTTTTGTGATATTAAATAAAAATTCAAGATTTCCTTTTGTAATTTAATACAGTTCCTAGTATTATTAAAAAATAGTGACACAGGCAAATTGTACTCCAATTTCAATTTTGCTTGGGTGTGTTGTGGTGGGGGTGGGGAAGACCCAGTCTCTTCACCAATTACTCTTCACCTTATTTTTTAGACCAGTTCTTTTCTCACTGAAACTGGAGTTCACCAATTCAGCAAGTCCCAAGGATCTGCCTGTGTTTGCCTCCCCAGGCTTGGGGTTACAGGCATGTGCTACCACATCTGGCTTTTTCCATGGCTGTAGGGAATGTGAACTCAAATCTTATACTGGTGCAGCAAACACTTTTATCAACTGAGCCATCTCCCTAGCCCCTTTGCTTTAATAAGTAGGGATACAAATGTACTTGATAATAAAATTAATCATCACTACATGATCATTTAGACAAATCAAACAGCTCTTATTACTTGAGAATGAGTATTTATAGGAAGTACTGAGCATCTGCAATTAACAAAACATACCTGGCTTAAAATGTGGTAAAGAATGAACTCCAGGCCATGTGTCCTCATTTGGTGTTCCAAGAACCTAGTGGAGAACAGGAAATTGTAGAAACAGACATTATTTCCAAAGCACTCAAAATTCTCAAGTACAGAAAACAGTATACTGCATGTTATGAAACTCTGGATTGTTTTCCCATTATCATGAGCCAGGGTTTTTATTTCAATAAAAACAAATGCATTTAAAAAACCACCCAAGATGAACCTCTGTGTTCCACCAAACACAGCTGAAAGTGACAAGTTAAATCTGCTCTATTTTATCACGCTCAAACTTAAAAAGTAGGCGAAGGAATCACACAATGCAATGTCATCTTCATAGAACTGTACAAAATATACCCGTTCCCCTCATGATCTGTTCTTGCCCTTGTCCTTCACTCCCACATCTCATCATTCAGTTCTAAGAGTTCTACCATTTTTCCATATCCTCTGTCTCAGCATCACAATGTTTCAAAGACTCCAGAGACACAGTTTGGTACGTTCTGATTCTCAATATACTTAATCTGAATCACTGTGATTAAATGTGATTAAGTAAGTTTGATAAAAATCACTTGCCAAAATGTTCTTCTTCCTATGCATTCTCCTTTTTCTGTTCTTATTTCACCCTTTCCCCACCTTTACCTGATCTTACAAAAGGAATTCAAGGAAATTTCCAGCTTCCACATTCCACCTGAGTTTTTGGTGGAAAACTCTTACTCATCTATCATGGTGAACAAAGTTTAGTACCGCAGATTGAGAATGGTAGAACTGAAAAGTTAAGAGCCCAGACCCTGAGGACAGATTCCTTGGGTTTAAATCTTTGCTCCTCTGCTTTCTAGCTATGTAGCCTTGGGCAAGAAAGTACCTCATCGAGCCTCATTTTTCTCATTTATAAACTGGAGGGTGATAACAGCACCAGCCTTATCTGTGTGCAGAATACTTCATGGCATTCGCTATGTAAGCATTGGATACTATTGTAGTGCCTACAGAAAGCTGGGCTGGGCCAGGGAGGCAGTGGGCATGTGGGAGAATGGAGATGACTCACTTTCTCCACAGCACTCCCAGCTCAGGAGAGTCAGAGCCAGATGCTGCCATTCAAATGGTGCTGGGCAAGCACGGAGAGTCACCAGATAAACAGGGTGAGAGACAAAGCTGGAGAACAGCGAAAGAGGAGGATGGGCAGGCATTACAGGGTTAAATGAGACATACACTCTGTACCTGAGAATAAGCAGGCACTGCTGGACAGTAAGGTAACAGAGTTCTGACCAGTGGTACAGGGACTTATAAGGGAGGGTCCAGGACTTGATGTCAAAGGGTGACACACATATTGAGTGCTTTAATCACATTCCCTAGTCTGGGGAGTTAGTATCAAACACATGGATTCAGCACATGAGATAATACAACTCTTCTTTGAAATTATAATTGGTTTATTTTGCAAGCACTAATGAATAGCATAGATCATACAAACAAGACCACACAATTGATGGCCTAGCTGGGGAGAGGGAAGGAGACAGGCATTAGGGACAGAAGACAGAAAAAGAGCACCGTCTGTGAAAAAAACAACTCTGATAACAGCATCTCTGCAAAAGACACTTTCCCCTTTCTGTTAAGTAATCCAGCAATTCTTTCAAGAGGAGAAGAGGATCAAGTTAGCAGGCTGCACAACACACACACACACACACACACACACACACACACACACACACACGGTCTGGGTCTGTCTAGGGATGGGCCTCTTTGTTCTCAAGCTGGCTGAATTTTGCATGAAGGACAAAGGGATTCAACGGTACTAAACTTTAACAACTAAACTGAGGCATTTTCAACTAAAACAGTGACATGAAGACAGTCTGTACATCATGTATGAGACAGACCCTCTGCAAGTTTTATAAACAATGGAAAGTCCAGCCAGGTCCTGAGATTGGCTGAAGGGATGACTCTGCCCGGGTGGTCTCTCTTCCCATAATGGTTATGTCAGCAAAACGTTTTCTTAGGCACCATCCTCATCGCTGTCCAGTGTTCTGTTTCAAGTAGATTAGCAAATATTTTGGCTGTCACATGAAAATTAACAGGAAAGACAAAACACTTAGTTTTTTTTTAAAGTACAGACTTGACAATTGAGGTCCTGGATTCTATGTCTTCTACAACAGACACTCACAGAACATTTGCTTAGAAAATGCAAAGTAGGAAGAAAGTTCACTGAGGAAAAGAAGAATTAAAAATTAATTTTGCTTCCAGCAAAACGCTTGTCAGAAAGGGCAGTGTGGGTTAAGTGGGTGATGGGCTAGGATGGGTCTCTGTGCACTAAGGAAAGCAGGTGTGGTGGTGTCTCTGTGCCAGGTTTTCATTTGCATGAACTAATAAATTCCACTGCCAAGACATTCCTAAGTTAGAAAGCAAAAGAATATTGCCTAAGAGTCAGTAATAATCTTTTATAAATAAAATGTGAAAATGAAAATTGCATCTGTGCCATTAGAATTTAAAATGCAGTCCCCACATCTGTAAATCAATGGGTTTATTATATCTGAAGGCCCTGTCTTCTTAAAACAATATGCCATGATAGCATATTTTACATATTCATTTAAGTAGCTTCCCCTACAAGCTGCCCAAGATGCTTGTGTACCTTCCCACTGAATATACGACTGGGGCTCCTCTTCCAGGCACTCCAGGCCCAGTGAGGGAAGTGAACAGAGCAGAGGTGAGTTTCTTTCAGCCTGACAAAGGGGTCCAGCAAGGCCTGGGAGAGGGAAGCAGGAGCCCAGAGGAGGCTGTGCTTGGCTCCCTGGAGGCAGGGGAAAGGCTCTGTGCAGAAGGCAGTTACGTGGGATAGGGAGAATTGAGCACTGAAAACCAAGTGAAGAAGGCTTGGGGCACCAGCAGGGAACAGTAGCTATAAGAGAAACACTCTCGTTTCTCAAAACAGTCTTCCAGTGCCTTCTCATGGTGGCTCCCCTGAGTGTCCAGTCTCTGATTTCTTTAGCTGAAGTTCTCCCTCTGCTTCTGGCTTCTGCTCAGCAGGCACTTTTGCTGAGTCTGTCTCAGGACAATTTGGTCCAAATCCCGTGTTGTTTCTTTCTGATCCTGGCATGCATTTTGAAGACTTTCCTTACAGAATGCCTGGTGGCTGTCAGATACTTATCTTCCCACTGGACAGTGGGCCTCAGAGTGGAGACTGGCAAGTTCACCCTTAGATCTCTATTGCTCACCATGTGTCTGACACTAGGTACATAGTCAATGCTGACTGGCTGAATGAATGAATGAATGAATGAATGAAGTGTCTGAGTCACAGCATCAAGTTCAATGTGACCAGACTGCAGACTGGACGTAAACTGTGAAGCTGAGACCATGAACTAAATCCAAGGAGACTGCATCTACCCGTTTCAGGTTTTCAGGACCTATTGTGAGACTTTGAAATTTGTTTACAGAGCTGACAGGAGTCCCTCAAGGCAAAGTCTAAGTCCTCTCCTTCTACGTTCTGGGAGGAACGTAATACTTTCTGGTCAAATGAGGCGGTAAAGCAATTAAAAGACTAGGGAGATATACCAGCCAATCTTCAAAGGAAAAACAGAAAATATCAGAGGGCAATCGATGGTAAGGATACAGAGTGCTTTATGAAACTTATGTTCAAGTTATAACTATGTGTGCATTCAGTAAGTCATCTAAAAATGCTTCTAGCTGTTTAAAAGCCAATTCTAATTCTACAAGAAGTTAAGAGCACAGATAAAGAATGCAGGAGATAGAGTAAGTTGAGGCTAAAAGGCAATGAGTTAACCTCTGGGCCTGTTAAGTGTTAGGAATGCCTTCAGGTCAAGACAGGAGTTGTGCAAAGGGCAACTGTAAACAAAGATATGGATATTTGTGAAGAATTTCAGATGCGAAAAAACAAAGCAAAAGTCAAACACTAGCTACAAAATGGTCTCACTGTCCTATGTTCACATGGATTCAGCTGCCGCAATGAGTCTCTATGGTTTTCTAGAGTATTTAGCATATGTTAAGACAAATAAGAGATGAACACACTGTTTTCAGTGAAGTCTGCACTCCTGATGCTGATGGTTACCCCTGAATGACAGCAGACTTGTTTGTCTGGGCTAGACTCTGATAGGTATGACATAAACCCTGCTCATGTCCCGCTGCTGGGTGGAGGAAGATGCTAAATGAAAGGATCTCTCAGTAGAAATATCTGCTTTACAAATAAGAGAAGAAACTACATTTCTGGAGGTCAGAGTTTAAGAACTAGTATTTGCGTGAGATAGTTACTTGTCCTTTCCAACTCCCCACAGCTACAGCAATGCTCACACTTGTTCAGTCTTGCTGATGCATGAGTGTGGGGCTGTTAACTTGGAGGCCTTGGCTTCCCCACCCCACCCCAAGAATACCCAGGCTTCAGAAGTTCGCCCTAGCTCAAGAGGGCAAAGAAGTCTTTAACAGAAACTCCAGCACAGGGTTGTTTTGGCTTGTGGGATGTGAATAAAACCAGTAATGAAATGAGGCAGAAAATTCTGGGTTCTCTCGCAAGCTTTCTGAGCACTACCACAGTAGCAGCGATGACCTTGAGCTGGCTGGTGCAACTGTGATTGACCCTGGAGGAATGGAGAACAACCTAGCGATTTTCCATCTGCTTGTGTGAAAGTCCACACATAGAACATATCTAAAACAGCACTGCTTCGAGGCTATACTTCAGGATTATTTCTCGCTTCTCAGTGAAAAGTCCTGAGAACAGCCATGAAGAGTCTCAGCAGAGTACACTGGGCTATATCACACACCACACTCTGGAAGAGATGCATGAAGTCCAAGAAGAGGCAGAGAAAGCTGATCTTCAACTTTTCTCTGAACTCTGTGCCCTCCACCTAGAATAACGGTCAAGAGGAGATGTTGAACTGCTTGTGTTGCCCAAAACAGCTGCAGGTGTATCCTATGGATGGGGGAGATGAAAGGGGATAGGGAAAGGTTTGGGAATCCATTGGTCTCAAGGATGGTGGTGAGGAAGGAATTTTAAGGGGACATAGGGTAGAAAAAAGAGTTAAAAGATGGGCTAAGCTAAGATGAAGAGGGAAA